CATGATGTATGTTGACAAGATCCTGGGATCAGTGAAGACCACTTCTTGTACTCTGAATCTCTGCCCATCTGTACTGCTAAAATCATGTAAGGACCACATCAACGAACTCATAATATCTATTATAAATCAACTGTAAGTGAAAGGGGGGGGAGCTTAACCCAAACTAAACTGAATTAGGTACCTAAAAGTTAAGAAGGTATGAATCTATAGGTGCAATGATTCTGTTAGTAAAATTTTAAATTAATAAACAAATATACAAAAATATTCATGTATTTATTTCAAAGTAAATTAAAAACAGATATTGGCCCTTGTGATAGCCTCAATTAAGATTCATAATGTAAAATGACAACCAGAAATTACCATTATTGACCCTGACCAGACATGTTTTGGGCCAGTAGCCTTCCTCAGTGGTCAAACAAATGACATTACAGGAATAGCTCCTGACATTACAATGCAACAATAACTTCTTATAAATTGACCAAGATGAAGGTTTTTTAAAAAATTATTATTGTCTGTGACCAAAGGCAAAGACAGAGGCCTCATTCTTGAGAGTTTACTGCCTTGGCCAGGTACACTTTCCAATAGTGTACCTTTTTCGCTTGGTCAGAAAAATTCAATGAAGCTAGGAGCCAGTAGTAATGCAATAGTACTATTTCATTACTTTTTGCTCTGTCTGCTTCTTGCTCTCAAACCAAAACCTGTTATTTCTTCACACACACACTCCTGCTCCCTCCACTTTGCTGGGTGGTGGTCGCCTTATCCAAACTCTTGTGGATAAAAGAGAGCTATCGGGGATTATCTCTTAATAGGTGTTGTTGTTCTCAGGGGTCTTGTTGTAGAAAAAGAGCTGCCGGAGCTCATTAGCATAACTCATTAGCATAACTTATTTGCATATGCCACGCCCCCTGACATCACCGGAAGTGACAGAAGGCCACACCCCCTGACATCACCGGAAGTGTGTCAGAAGGCCCGGCTACTTACCCTCCTGCTTCATCCTCATTCCCAAACGGAATGAGGATCGAAGCAGAGGGCGGGGTAAAGAAGGGGGCGGGGCTTCACCACGTGACCGCCCCGCCCCCTAGAGGTTCTCTTCCAGAGCTCCGTACCTGAGAGCTCCCCCCCGACTAGAGCCCTGGTTGTTCTTGTTGTTCAGTCACACAGTCGAGTCCGACTCTTCGCGACCCCATGGACCAGCTCCCGCCAGGCCTTCCTGTCTTCCGCCGTCCTCTGAAGTTGGCTCAATTTCATGTTCGTTGCATCTATGACACTGTCTAACCATCTCATCCTTTGCCGTCCCCATCTTCTTTGACCTTCAATCTTTCCCAGCATCAGGGTCTTCTCCAGTGAGTGCTCCCTTCTCATTTGGTGGCCATCTTAATGTAGCACCCACCAAAAAACAGTCTGAGCCATGGTCAGTTACCAGCTGCAACACTATATATTTATGTCAGATCAGTCCTGCATTCAGATTGTATGATAAAACATGGTTTGTTTAAACCATAATTTCCCCCCCAACAAACTCTGGTTAATCTCTGAGATGTAGGTAACAAATTCCAGTTTGTGTATAGACCCTAATTTGTCTATTTGTTGCCTCCTCTCATCTCCCAACAGGAAAGACCTCCTCATAATACCGCTATCTATGTGGGTTGAGGCCACAAAGAACATTCCTACCCAACAACAACCCAACAACCTTAATTTGAAAATTAAGGTGTCATAACAAACTGTTGTTAATAAACCACCTACAAAATCCTAGGCTGAAAATCTAGTTTGGTGCTAACCAACAGATACCAGTTTGTTGGATCATCTGCATTCACAGGGTTTATGATGGTACCTTAATGGAAATTAGATAAATTGAGAATCAAAATGGCAGCCTTTGTTTCTTATCAGTTTATCTTCATGGTATTTATTAGGGTAGATATTTCTTTAAAAAACCTAACTCTGGCACTTATGGTGCTTTCCATAGTACATTTTATTATTGTGAAAAAATCCTTCTTTTGGTTGGTCCTATGCACTTTATATTGCTTTTATTGCATTGCTACAAAAAAAAAGTTCCCAAACACCTCCCTAATTTCTTCTTGATTTCATAATATTTATTAGCCCTTTTAATAATTCCAGTATTGATAGGAATACAGAGTGTTCTTGCCACTTGCCTTCTGTTCTTTGCCAGTGTAGAAACACAGATTGAGAGCCTTATGTTTCTTTCCTGTGGGTTTTAATCTATTCTTTTAAAACTTTTAAATATCTCTAGGCTGATTGCAAAAGCAATCAAATTATCTCCCCTGTAGATTCTAAGAGTATTTCAGGGTATTTGGCTTGAAGAAGCACAAGGAGAATTAGGCCTAAGAAGAAATCAATCTTGTGCACTAATGGCTCCTTATTTTCCCCTTCTGATAAACCATGGGGGATTACACCCAAGTCTGTGATGTAGTACAAGAAAGAAGTATGGCTGAATGAATGTTCAGGCACCCAGAGATGAGTCATTCTGTCTTAAGAGCCAGCTGATGGTGATACACAGAGATGGGAAACAGTCTGTTATTTGAACATGGAGCATGAAATTTGGTGTCACACTGTGGCTAAGATTTTAAATTCTGAGCCAGGAGATCCACAGTTCAGAATTGATCCGAGAATTCACTAGGTAGGCTTAGGAAAGCCACTATTTCTCACCCCTCCCATCTGCAATATGTGCAACACTGCAATATATCTACAACCCTGACCTACTCTGTAAAACCTTTGTAAAGTTTACTGCAACATGGTACATAATATGGTATATACACACATCCCATTGGCTATATGCAAACCCATGGGCACAACTAATGTAACTCCCTGGTTCCTGGCAATTGGGGATACAATATAATTCAATGGGAGAGCATATTCTTTGCATATTCAGCTTCTGGCATCTCCAGTTTGAAGTGATCTCAGGCAGAAGGAGATGGGAAAGACCTTTGTTTGCTTGAAATCCTAAAGAGTTCTACTATTGTCAATACTGACAATACTGAATTAGAGGGACTCCATTGTGCCACTTAACATATAATATTTCCAGCTTTCAGATGTGTCAAGCCTTTGGTTAGCTAGGTGGATAACTAGCATAAATCAGTCATAACTACCAATCTGATAATGAGTTGCCAAGTTTTTTTCTGGCTGGGTTCCCTGCCTTAGCAGCTGCACCAGTAGGACAAATCCAACAGATGTTATCTTTCCTGGCAAGTAGATGCAATAATAAGAAAAGATTTACTGCTGAATTTACCGTGAAAGGCCAAGTATACTTTTACTACTAAGTAAACAATTTCGCACAAAATGTTGTGTTGCTATCCTGTAGATCATTTAAATGTGAGTTTTATTTTTAGGCCTAGTTTGATAATTATTGAATTAGTTTCTACTCAAATTGCAAGTTGAAACAATTGCCCAAATTTCATCCTATGAATGTGAGTACAGACATTTTCAAAAGGTCATTCCTAGGGCCTTAGAATGAGCAGAATTCTAATCATTCATGGGTAACTGAAACATATCTCGCAGACTTAAAAGGTAGAGGAAAGCAACCTATGTCCATTTATACATAACCTAAAACTTAACTGCTGGGTCTGTCTAAAATTAATGTACCATTTCTTAAACTATCACCTTATATCATACACCACGCAGAGACTGCAAAAGATGTGGCCTTGAGCGGTATGGATCTTGTGACAGCACAGGATAATAGTTGTGCACCTATATCTATTCTTTAAATACATACTACGTACTAGTTGTGACTTGGGTTGCCATCCCCCCAATGGGGCGGGTGTTCCCCCAATTATGGGGCTCCTGATCAGCCAGCTGGCCAGTGGGGGAGCCCCATCCCTGAAGAGCTCCATGGTGCTCAATGTGCCCAGCCCAATGACATCATCTGGAGGCGATGTCATTGTGCCAGGCACATCACGGGGAGGATTCTCTAGCATTCAGCCAAAAACTCTATGGCATGCACTTGAAGATCCCGGAGAGGAGCCAGGAGCCCCCCACCCACAAAAAAGTAGGGATCTGGGAACCCTAGTTGTGACCTTATGTTGTGCATATTTTCACAAATGTGCTTATTTATTTATGTATTTAATTTATACCCTGCACCCTCTTCCCCACAGGGGACTTGGGGCAGCTTACAACATTTAACTTCTATAAATATGGTTTTAAAATCTGGGTTTAGGGTTGCCAAGTCGTTGAGTACTCACCGGCGGGAGAGTGTCTTGAGGCTCTGAGAGCTGCTGTGGGATGCGTGTGCGCGCGCGCCGCCAGCACATCACAGGAAGTGACGCACGACGTACAGCACGTTGGGGGCGTGGTCCCAATCATGGGAGGGAAAACCATAGAGTTTTCCCTCCGACGATTGGGGCCACGCCCCCAACGAGCTCTACGTGGTTGTGTCACCTCTGGTGATGCAGCCACGCTGCGCTTCGGGGGGCAGGGTTCCCCCGGGGCCCGATTCCGCGGCAGCGGAAATCGGGCCTCCAAAGCCGGGGTTTACCCGCCCCCCGCCCCACTTGGCAGCCCTATCTGGGTTTCATGGGGATTGGGGAAAGCTATTAAGAGCATGGCAACCAAACCATGGGATAAGATAGGGAGTCATAGTTGGCACAAGTAAGTGCTCTCATTACTAGAATAGAACTAATTCTTTTCCTCATGGAGCTTTTCTGTTAAAGTGTTTATATGTAATTTCCAAGTATGGGTTGTGAACATAAGAAATGGAAAATGTGCCATTGATAAGATAGATAGATAGATAGATAGATAGATAGATAGATAGATAGATAGATAGATAGATAGATAGGACTAGGTTTACAGGTCTTCAGATTCTGAAGTTATGCTTCTAGTTGTACATTACTCCATTAAGAAATGTACCTGTGGGTTTGCCAATCTGTTGCTTTGATACCAATATCTTTGTTCTTTAGAATTACTTCATAACATTCACTGTCAGAGTTTAAGAATTTTTTAATGAATGCATGACTATTAGAATGTTAAAAGTCTGCTTGTTTTACATCATGCAGATATTTGATAATGAAGCCAAAGATCTTGACAGAGAAGTCTGCTTTATTGATATTGCCTGTGATGAAATTCCTGAGCGCTATTACAAGGAGTCTGAGGTAGGTAAAGGATTTTATTATTTGGATTGGTTTTAGGGTTGGCAGGCTGTGCCTGGCAACCAGAAGGCGCTTTGGGGGAGGGAACATGAGGGGAGCACAGAATCACATGCACTATGACATCACTTCTAGGGAAAACCCAAAAGTGGCACTGGGTAGCTTTAGGAATTGCTGGAAATTAGTTGTAGATTTTCTGGGCTGTATGGCCGTGGTCTTGGCATTGTAGGACCTGATGTTTTGCCAGCAGCTATGACTGGCATCCTCAGAGGTATAACGCAGAAAGATGGAGTACTCTCTGTTTCAAGGTGAGAAGAAAAATTGTAGGTAGGTAATTTTTATCTACTCAGGAAGATGGGGTAGGGCTGAGTCATTATCTTGTAGGAGTTCCCCAGGCTGTGACATGCCAATGGAGGAGCTTTCCTGAGGAGGTTCTTTTGCATATCGATTGGCTGTTGAAATTCCAATCTTATCTGTAGTGCTATTGTAAGATGTAGAGCATTTTGTGTTTTTCAGGACAGGAAACCATGCCCTATTTATTTTTAAACTCTCTTCTTTCCTGTTGAAATTGGGTTTATGTTTATGAATTTTAGTGGCTTCCCTGTGTAAACTGACATGGTAATTGTTTCCAGCAATTCCTAAAGATGCCCACTGTCACTTCCAGATTTTTCCTTGAAGTCAAAGAGTTTTAAAAAAAAATTCTCCCACTGTGGAAGGAGGGAGAGTGAACTTCTGGCAGCAGCTGTTTCTGCCACAAGTAGGGTCCAGTGTTATCAGGCTCATCTCTGCTCCTGTACAGCAGCGTCTCTTTCCATAATTACTTGGAAGGAAGACAGGAAGAGTCTGGGCCCACCTGGACCTCAGTGGATTGCAGCACTAATCAGCGTTCTGATTGAGACAAGGGGTTCTGGGCCCTCTGCTATATCTTGGTGAGACTGGCCTGAGTGAGGTGGAAGAGGGGAGAGTGAACTTCTGGAAGAAGCTCTTTCTGTCATGAGTAGGAGCCAGTGTTATCAGGCTCATCTCCATGCCTGTACAGAAGCATCTCTTTCCCTAATTACTTGGATGGAAGAGAGGGAGAGTCTGGACTCACCTGGAAGTCAGTTGATTGCAGCACTACACAGCATGCTGACAGAGAGAAGGTTTCCGGGCCCTCTGCTGTATCTTGGTGAGAGTGGCCTTTGGCTGTGCCAGAGGCACAGACCTCAGGCCTCAACCAGTAACTCTGTTAAAAATATATAAATATTTAGAGAGTTATGTGTTAGTATCTATGTGAGGTGCTAATTTGAGTGATAGGAGAGGAAATAATAAGTGATATTTGTAATTGTGTTCAATGTGAACTTAGTTGAAAACAAACTTAAGTTAGAAACAAAATGCCAAAGAAAAAGTTTAATGAATTATCTGAGGTATAATCCTCTCCGCCTGAACTTTCCATACTTTCTTTGAAGGATATTAGAGCACTTTTTGTGAGTTAATTTAAAAAAATGAGATAGCTGTTAGACAAATGTTTGATAAGAAATGGCAGTTTCTGGATAAAAGGTTAGAAATAAATGAAAGAAAAACTGAAGAGATATTTAAAAGTTTGCATGAGGTAAAGGACCAACAGGTTCAAGTTATACAACTCAAAACTAAATTAGAGATGTTAGATTCTAAATGCACATTAAATGAAGCTATTTTACACAAAAATGATGGGGGGAAATAGAAGAGAGAGTGGAGGGATTGGACAACAAATTACGGAGAGCTTTGTTGAAATTGAGAGGGATTAAAGAACTTGAAGAAGGTGATGAGTTGGTGGTTTATCTAGAGAATTTATTCTAGGGAATACGTGAATCAGACTTTGAAAAAAGGTGTGAAAATTGGAAAAGCATACAGAGTAAACTGTAAGATAGCCCGTAGTAGACAAGTTTGTTGGGACATTATAGTATCTTTTGAATCTTTATCTACTAAAGAGTTAATAGTAAGAGTTAAAAGTAAGACATGACGCTTTAGTTATAGGTGATGAACCCATTCAAGTATTTGCAGACATCTCTCCTCTTATGTTTCAGAAAAGACGTAATTTGAGATTTTTGACTGATAGACTGAGAAATAACTGAACTCTGTATAGATGGGGTTTCCTATTTACACTCACTTTTAAGATGAAGGGGGTAACTCACATGGTTAAGGCAACTGATGAATCAGAGGATATTGTTAAACAGATTTTTACATAAGTTAAGAGTATAAGAAAATCATATTGTTTATTTTAAAACTGCTCAAAAAGTTTTTTTAATCAATGCAGATGGTCTAAATGAACCACCAAAATGGTGTAGATTTTTTTAATAAGAGAAGAAAAGAAATATTATTCTTATTCCAGAAATTCATATGAAGAAGAGCTTTGATCATAGTTTACAATCCCCTAAATTGGGAAATTTATTTTCAGCGTCATATTCAGCAAAGGTATTGCTTTATATATTGTTGTGGGTCAGCCAGGGCTGAGCGACAGTGAGGACTCCTCAGGAGAATGGGACTTCTCAGGACCTTGTGTAGTCAGCCTTACAGGAGAAGCTGACCAGCAGGAAAATGAGCTTTTGTCCATAGTCACCCTCTGTGGCCCTGTGCACTCGATGTGTACAGCATCACCATGGGGTGCCTGCAGGGCTGATGCCCCCTCCCCACTGACAGGTGGCCTGGGCTTGTAACACAAGATGTTCTCTTTAAGGGGGGGTGCAGCAGAGGAGGAGCATCACTCCTCTGGGCCACCCCTCTGCCCCCTTTTAGTGACAGACACTTGGCTTGGCCTCCTCGACTCATGACTCCCACTGGTCCTGCCTGCCCTGTCTGTCATGCCACCCTCGCCTTGCAGCAATGCCAGAACAGAATGCTGCGGCAGTATTGTCACCGACACGGCTGCAGCAGTACCTGGCAACACTTTGGGGGCACCTTTTTCCCTATTTGGCCACTGCGTACCTATCTTCTTAGGGATGCGACTAGCGGCACTGCAGCTGTACCACGGCTGGCCACCTTAGTACATGTGCAACACAGAATTGCTCTGCCCATATCCCAGTTAAAGGCCTACCATGAGGCAGCAAAACTAACCTGGCTGTCATTATGAACTAAACTAGTGAGTACCTCAACTGAGTTAGTAACTGAGCAAGCAGAAATCAAAATTCCAATTAGGACCTTTTTATAGGCTGCTCCAAAGATTAGGAAAAATGTTTATAATAAGGGTAATACAATTCTAGATGATTTATTGATGGTATGGGATATAAACAGGAAGAAGCTTTTTCCAGTGATTTCATCATCAACATCGGTGGCTAGAGACTTAGATGCAGTTCAAAATTTTAAATTAACATCGGCCCTGTTCATACGAGCCATTTAGGGCCGTGAGTGGGCCCGATTGGAAGCGCGGCAAACGGGAGCGATCCGACGCCAACATCTGCCTGGCGTTGCACTCCCGTCTCCGATCTGGCCCTTCCCCCGATGATGCGCGGCAAAAATGAACCACCTACCTTCAGTGGTTCATCCATTTGGGCCGCATCATCCTGGGCGTGGGATCGGCGGCGCGTCTTTTCGCCGCCGCATCCCCGGCTCCCTGCCGTACTGCGCATGCTCGAGCATGCGCAGTTCGGCAGCCTCCCCCTCCCACTTGTATCTTCCTCCCCGGCATCTGATCGTGCCGGGGAGCAACGATGCGTGGCTAACGGGATCCGGGGGATCCCTCCGCAGCGTTTCTTTTTTGGCGCGGCTTTTAAAAGCCGCGCTTTGCCCCGTTTTTTCCCTGCCATGTGGCAGGGGCCATCATTGAGTAAATGGCAAAGCAATAAAATTGATTGTTATGATTTGTTGGTAGTCTCTAGTGATATGATCCCATATGGTGTTTAGGATAAGTAATGGTCAGATTTCATGTTTTGAGTACTATCAGATGAAGAATTTCATAACAAACTTAATTCATAGGTGTTATTGGATAAGGCATAAAAATGAGTTTGAAGAATTATTAACAGAACACCCTAATAGATTGTTTTCTAAGTTAAAAAAACCAAGTTTAAGCTAAATGAAGTTTGGCACTATGACCCTAAGTTTTAATGGAAGTCTAGGAATTTGCTTTATCATATGGATCTAAGTTTTCTGTATGTTTGAATTTCAAGGAATATCTATGGAAAATTATTCATCAGTTATATCTAACTCCAAAAATAATTGGCAAAGTGTACAACTCATGTTCTGGAGTCTTCTGGTACTATAATGCAGAATCAGCTGATTTTATTCACATGTGGTGATTTTGCCCAAGAGCTTGGGGGGGGGGGGTTAAGGTTGCCTTTTTGGTGAGTGTTGGTAAGTAAAGGACCATAGAAAATAATCCAGAATGTCTGATGTTGAATTATGTACCATGAGTTCAGATTAGGTTAGGGAATATACTATTGTATCTAATTACTGCAGCATGTTTAAGTTTTGCACGCTATTAGAAATCAAACAAGATACCTGAAGTTAGCAAATGGCTCAGTAAAGCAAAGGCAGTTTTCTTATGCAAAAATCTCCCCCCCCCAAATGTGGAAATAGTGTGGCACAAAAAATAATGGCCCAGATAAAATTCAGAATTTAAAAAAACCTAAATCCAAATTCCAAAATGGTATTGGGGATCTAAATAATCCAGAATAACAAATCCCAAAATCCAAATCCAAAGAATACCAATTTTTTTCAAATGCCTAATCCTAAACCACAGCCATATTCATTTCAATTTCAAAAGCAGTTGTTCATGCAAAACTGGGGGGAGGTGTTGTTATAGAAAATCAAATCCTAAAACTGCCTTCATTGGAAGTTGGCCATACTGTTTTGTGCACCTCACTGTTACGGACAGTGTAAAGTCAGTCTTCAATAGTAAGGATTAAAAAAATATTAAAACAGGGTTTTGTGCTCATGCTGAACAGTCACAGGATTATAGCCAACATCTGTCCAGTGGGAAATATAATAGTTGAGCAAGCACCATGTTAACAACCCTTTTTAACCACTTGCTTCAGAATCTCCCTTTCTTCCCCTCAATTCATCTGCAGATATAATTTATGAGGCAAACTCACTCTGACAGAATAATTTTGCTAGCAAATGGCACAAATTACTCTGTGTTTTCAGTACATTGTAATGCCAAGTGCAGGGTGTTTTAAAAATAGCACGTTCAGTATTGCTAACAAAGCAGAAATACTGCTGCCTCTGTGCTTGATTTGCAGTTAGATATAAAGAAAAACTAGGAGCTGTGTGTAATCATTCTCTTCTGCTGGTGGTGTGTATGTGTGTTGATGGGGGAGAAACTGTGCCCATTTTCAGTCATGTTTTTTCAAAGATGTTTTCTGACTACACTGAAGGACTTTTGAATTGACATGGCTTTTCTGAATAAAATGAGCACTTAATTTGAAAAAATAGGAAAGTGTGAATACTATCAGCTGGGCAAAACTGACTGAAATTTCAAAAACAAACATCTGTAATATACAGTAATGTTTCTTGCAGTTATTCAGCAAGATTCCATTTTAGGAGGCAATTCTATGAAAAGTTCACATCTACAAAAAAGCATCTGCCAAATACTTCCTTGAACCCAACATACTTCATGCCACATTTAAAGTAGACGTAACAACCACCTTTGATAGTGCATAGTACACCAGTCTTTACAGCCTGTTAACATAGCTGTTAAGAGGGCTGGGAAAATTTGAAAGCAGAAGAGTAGCAAACTGACATACCCACCTTATTTGCCAGGACTACCCAAATGATGCCACAAGGAGCACAAATGTATTAGCTAGAGCTGCCAACCTCCATTTGGGATCTGGAAATCTCCTGGAATAAAAACTGGTTTTCAGACAATAGAAATCAGTTCCTGCAGACAAAATGGCTGCTTTGGAGAGTAGAGTCTGACATTATACCCCACTGAGGTCCCTCTTCTCCTCAAACACCAACCTCTCTAGGCTCCACCGCCAAATCTTCATGAATTCTGCAACCTAGAGTTGGTAACCCAAGCATTAGCCTCAAGCCACTAGAACTTTCCTTGAAACTGACTCTAGTGCATACCTGTTAGCAGCAAATTTGCCTGAAGGATATTTAGGATATGTTAAGCTGTGGACAATAGCCCACTACCTGCTCCTCCCCAGCCTAAGAATCTCTCTTGATCCCTGTGCCATACCCACAAAAGGAACAACATTGGTGTTGCTCCACAAAGCTGTTTGGCTCTGGATAATTTCAAGCCCAGGTTCAGTTGTTCAGGGGAATGGAGGTAGCAGACCTAAGGTAGAAGGAGCACCATACCACTTCAGACTGCATGTGGAGGATCACAGTTAGGAATGCTCCTATATGTTTCACAAATCATAGGCCCCGGTCACACGAGTGGATTTGGGCCGGGAGAGGGACGGTTCGGGGGCGGAGCAAACGGGCGCGATCCCACGGCAACATCTGGGAATCGTTGCCTGTCCGTCCCCGATCCGTCCCTCCCACCCAAAACCCCGCACCAAAAAAGAACCACCTACCTAGGTGGTTCTTCGGAGAAGAGCGCCTCAAGCCCGGCCGTGGGATTGCCGGAGAAGCAAGTTAATGCAGCTGCAAAAAACCCTTTCTTCCAATTCAGCCTAGCTCATAAAATGGCCCCATACCTTGATATGCCTAACCTGACCACCTGGATCTACACCACAGTAAGATTGAGACTAATGTAATGCACTATACATTGGGCTCCCCTCAGAATCAACTCGGAAACTCCAGCTGGTCCAAAATACTGCAGCTTGACTATTAGCAAGAGCTAGAAAGAACATTACTCCCATTCTACAGACCAGAAGTTCATGTGCTATTTCTTAAGCAAGACTGAAGAGGATGAGACCTTCAAAGAACGGAGGCATATAATACTAACGATTTTGGGGAGACATTTGCAGAGAAAACAAAATAAACTTATATTTTATAAGTATTTGTAACAATATATCTTGACTGTTTGCATGTTTTAACTGATCAAGGAGATAAAGATTTATCTATAGTGGAACAATAACTGTGAAGAAATACTTGTTTATATATTATTTTTTCTCCTTTTTCTTCTCTCTTTCTTTCTTTTGAACTTATATATAATATAGTTTGACTGTTTGCATGGCTTAACTAGTCAATGAGATAAAGATTTATCTAAAGTGGAACTCTAACTACTAAGAAATACTTGTCTATATACTATTTCTTTTTTCTTTCTTTTCTTTGAACTTATATTGACATTTGAAAAATGATTAACTAAGAATATAATCTGTAGTTATAAATATTGACTATTTTTATTGTTCCAGTTGATTAGTGAAAGTTATAAGTAATGGTTGGTCTATTTGAAACAACAGGTTTGGGATATTTGTAATGCTCTAACTGAAGGTTGAGAAAAAATTATAGGGCAGTTTGATTTTTAGAGTGGGCTTTGCAGAGAAAAAATAATGGTAATGGGCTGATTACCTAGAGAAGATGTAAAGATTTATTATCGTGAGAGAAAAGATGGATTTACACAGAGTAAGGTGAAAGCATATTGGCACTGTAAACCTAAGAAAAATATAAAATACCATGCTTAAGTTTGCAAGTATATGGAATTGTGAAAGCTAATATTGCTAAAAATGTGAAGGAATATCTTAAAGGGACCAAACTGTTATTATACAAGAAATATGTGCCCAAATTAGAATTGTTAAACTGTTGAAACACCTGCTTCTTTCCCTTCCTATTTTTATAATTATAAAACTGATTAATAATAGTGTAGTATAGATAAAATGAAATATAGCAGATAGGATATAGAAAAATGAACTGTATATTGGGAATAGAATTTTGATTAATGATATTTGTTGTGGAATATAAAGTTAAACAAGGGGGGAAAGGGAACTATGTATCTAAAGATGTTGTGAGCGAGATAATGTCTTGATATTTTAAAAATGTATTGCTCTTTTGTGTGTGTGTGTAATTCTTAAAAAACTAATAAACCTTGCCCATTTGGGCAAGCAGAAAAAAAAGAAAAGAAAATCCAGGCTGGAGCTGTGCTTAATGGTTGAGACCAATGCTCCCTCTAAGCTGTGGAGTCTTGTGAGCAAAAAATCTACTTTGTGAGCTACTGGCATTAAAGTTGTGAGAGAGTGATTTGGCTACTGCATAAATTAGTTTGCTCTGGAGCCATCCTTCCTGAGCTAAGACAAAATGTGTGAGCCAGAGGCTATAAAACTGTGAGGTAGCTCACATTAATTCAGCTTAGAGGAAACACTGGTTGAGACCCCTTTACCAGTACACAAACAATCAGTTTTAATGAACTTTTTTTTTGGTTTTTTGCTATTGTTTGTCCATGTTTTTACTTGTATGTTTTATCTGCTCAATTGTGTCTTTGGCCACACACAATAAACACACTTGACTTGGCTTACATTATTGTAGCCAAAATAATGTCCTGCTTGTTGCTAGCAGGGCAAAGCCCTTTCAGTTTGTGTTACTTTTCTAGATTTTTGTGTTACCTATACAATTTTATTCTCTGACACAGTTTTTCCCCCATCCCAAAAAAATGTCTTTCTTTTTTAGGATCCTAAATATTTCAAATCAGAGAAGACTGGGAGAGGCCTATTAAAAGAAGGCTGGAGAGAGACTCAGCAGCCCATCATGTGTTCCTACAAGTTGGTGTCTGTGAAATTTGAAGTATGGGGACTTCAAACTCGAGTAGAACAGTTTGTTCACAAGGTGAGTGAAGGACGGTGTCCCTGTGCCATTCTTTCATTGTCCTTATCTTGTGCATTATCAGAATATGCATGTCAGGAAGTTATGTGTGGTTCCAATTTGCCTTTCCAGTTACACACTAAGTGGTGAAGGGTGAATATAAGCCATTTTCAGCTATTGGTATTGGAAGTGCTAGTTACTCTCATTATGTGCAAGACAGAAGCTTACATATCTAGAGTGTAACTATTTCTCCCTTTCCCTTTCTGAATCTATACAAGAAAGAGGGAAAACATATATAGATTTGTTCAAGTGGGTCAGTTGTCTTTTATGCAATCAGACTGTTGTATATTTGGCTTATATTTCATCCAATATCATAAATGGCCTGAGAGGAACAAAGTGGGAAAGGAACTGTAGCAAGCTGTAACACAGGATGAGGATCAGAGTAGTGTTAGAATGTGAATGTTAATTTCTGTTGCATGTGTGTTTCCTCCTTCTGATGCTCAGCACCTTGGTGCATGCTCAAAGCCTTCCAATAACAAGTGTGCAGTTGTTATGAAGAATTTTTCTATATATCACTTCCCTTGGAAGTAATACCATTTATTTTTGAACTTTGTAAGTTGCTGACTTGCTTTTTGGAGAACATTTTCTGCAGTGAAGCCTGTATGGGAATATTACACTTCAAAAACACCTCAAAACCAAGAAATACACATCTTTTCTTTAAACCCACAGTCTTATTACAGCTCTCATGAGTAGATAACTGATTATCTAAAACTTAACCCATGCAGAGAGGTGAGAGTGTCACTGATAGCAGCATGTGTATAGTTCATTGGCTGATCATTTTATGTGCCCTTGCAAACTCAGTGATGTTCTCAGGGGGCCATGAAAGACAAAGTCATGCAAGTTGTGGGTCTATGAATCAAGATCAAAAAGTGGCATGCTTACTTTCCATGGTGTCATGAGTTTCACCTAGTTTAATTCAAGGTCAAGAACAAGTTTATTCAACTTAGTTGTACAGAGATGATCTTCATTTTTAGGCTTTTCTGGTTGTTCCTTATTTCAGTAATACTCCATCAATACACAAGAGCAAAGAGAGTAAGCCAGTAAAGAGGACTGGGGGGGGGAAGTGTACTAGCCACAAACTTTCATCTGTGACTTTAGTTTTAGTGACTTGCCTCTCAGTAGGGTCACTTTTTCTGTTGGGGGACCTCTGTCAAATTGTTCAGGTGCCCAGTTTTACCATTGTATTGTTTTATAGTATATGCTGGTTATTATTTAACTCAGCAAGTAGTATCTGACAAGTATAGCACCGTGCATGCTTGCAACAAGAACTATTTGTGTTATATGCAGGGAAATTCCAAAACAATGCCTAACACCTTTACAAATCTGCTCAATGTGGCATCACTAATTGGTTGTAAAACTGGCAGGATCAATGCCTTACTTTTAAAGATATCAAAATTGTAGGCACTAGTAGACACTGAAAAAATATACTTAAAAAATTATTGCAGTACGCAAAATAATTTGTGAAGTATGATAGTCACAATAGAATCAGTAGAACAGTTATCTTGCACTGTGTATATTTCTAGTATTTACAAATAGGTGATGAACAAAGTTTTTAGCTACAGTACTCCCCTCCTATCTGCATATGACTAAATGGAAAGCAACTGTCTAGGTGAATGTTCTTTCTTGTTGTTCATGTGTTGTTCATGTAGGGTTCCCAGACCCCCGGACCGGGTGGAGGATCCCCTGATTTTCAGGGCTTCTGCCTGTAACCAGCCACCTGGCTGGTGGGGGAAGCCCTGCTCCCAGACAGTGACGTCACACTGCGATGCTCTGCTTTTTGGGCAAAACTTGATGGTTTGAGCCAAATTTTAACCATAGAATTTGCCCAAAGAGCAGAGTGTCACCATGCATTGTTGCTGATACAATGACGTTACTTCCGTGTGATGTCATCGCATTGGGGACGTTGCTGCCTACTCCTGGCCTGCCCCCCAAATCCCCTTGCTGGCACAAAAAAAGTGCCTGGCAACCCTATGTTCATGTGTGCTTACTAACAATAAGATCACTTTTCCACCAACAGAAAGTTTAGTAAACTTCATCTAAGTACTTCTAAGATTTACAAGCATACAGCTGATATGGAGTCTTGCCATTCAGAACATTTGTAGAGTTAGACCTAGTGCAAAGATACTGTAGAATGTTATTTCTGATTATTTTTACATTGTTGTAATTTACAGGTAGTCAGAGATATATTGCTGATTGGTCACCGACAAGCTTTTGCATGGGTTGATGAGTGGTACGGTAAGTAATCTGTTAATTAAAAATATATAGTATTCATTCTTAACACATCCTTTATAGTCAAGGATGAATTTTGGAACAAAATTGGGAAGAACTACTATTATGTTTTAAACAAGAGGGGGACCCGCGATACTCGCGGGGGGGAGAAGACCTCCGTCTTCTCCATCCCCCCCGCTCGATCTCCCCGAGGCGGCGGCGGTGAGGTCGGTCCTCCCCCCCGCCCGGCTCCGAGGCGGCGGAGGCGAGTCCGTTCCCCCCCCGGGCTCCGAGGCGGCGGCGGAGAGGCCGGTCCTTCCCCCCCTTTGCTGGGCTCGGCGGCGGCGGCGAGGCCGGACCTCCCCCCCGCCCGCCCAGCTGGCTCTAAGGAGGCGGAGGTGGCGTGGTGGCCGCGAGGCCAGCTACAGAGCATTCCCTGCGCTCTGTCACATCCCCCCGAATTTTTTTTCAACTTTTTGGATTTTTGTGCACACGTGGGGCGGTCCCCACGTGTGCACAAACCTCCCCCTCCCCCCCAAGTGCCCCCGGAGCGCGAATTTAGCGATCCGCACTCACAGGGGCAACTTGGCTATTAGTATATAGATATGGTGGTTTGGATCCAAGTGTTCCAATGTTTTTTTAAAAAAATATGCAAATGTATGCATTGTAGCTCTAGCTAAAATCGCAAACTAGTGTTGACATTCTACAATTGATCTGCACTGATGCCAGCAATGGAAGTTCTTAGAATATCAGTTTGGGTTCATGTTATTTTCAGACTAAGGCTACTTTGTAACATAAAACTGAGGTTCACAAACTGGGAGTGACCCAAGAACCTGGAAGGTTTAAACTGGGATTTGAACTTGAGTTGTATATAATGCCAAATCAGTATAGAGTGAGGTGCAAGTAATTTGTATGTAAGCAAGACTGTAGAGAGCAGAGGAGCAAATATATAATCCCACAGGATAGATCAAGATGTCATTTGTGTGCTAATGTCATTTGGCATCTCAAATCACTCCACTTTCCAATGTATAGGACAGATGGACTCACATTCTAGCTGTATCTGAAGAAGTGAGCAGTGACTCACAACAGCTCATACCCTACCACAAAGTCTTTAAGGTGCTACTGGACTGTTAATCTTTTCTATTGATAAAATACCAGAGGGTCTTCCCAAACACTAAAACTTGGTTCTGTGTTATATCTGCATCACCCCATAATTTCAACTTCCATATATTTTAAACTTGTTAATAGACCAATAAAGAAAAAACAATGTTATACTGACAACTCTGCACTTGGGTTAAATAAAAATTATGGCTTCCTTACATGGCAAATCTTCAGCTGTGCAGAGCTTTATGTCGTGGTATTTTTGTTCACACAGAATTAGAAATTGAGAAATAGAATAAATGTTATCCTGTTTGTTCTCTGTGCTAGTGGCAGAGCTTAGGGGTGTGCAAAAAACCCTCTGTATTTTTCATGTTCGTGTTTATTGAACCTGAAAAATATCGGTATTTCATGATGCTCCCGAATCCCAATATTGGTATGGTATTTGGAGTCGGTAAATATTTGGGATTGCTGAAATTTTTCTGACTCTATTATATCCTATGGGGACCATTATAGTTAATTGATAATTGATCTGGGGGTATCTGGGGCTCTGTGGGAGCTGTTTTTTTGAGATAGAGGCACCAAATTTGGTGGGTATCCTCAAAAAACCCTACAAATTTCAAAAAAATGGACCAGGGGTTCAATTCTATGGGCCCCAAAAGAAGGTGCCCCCATCCTCCATTGTTTCCAGTGGAGGGGGGAAAGGCATTTAAAGGGAACACGATACCTTTAAATACCTTTTGCAAGCCATGGCTAAATTCAAAGGCATTTAAAGGGCTCACAGTCCCTTTAAATGCCTTCACCAAGCCAGTTTCATCTGGAAGGTGTTTAAAGGGACTGCAATTCCTTTCAATACCTTTTAACACCAACTATTCGGTGGCCCTGAAAAATCCCGACTTTTTTCAGGATTTTCCGGGCTCAGTCATATCGGATAGCTGGATAAATACCCCAGCTGATATCCAGCTGAAAAAATACCTGGAAAATACTGGTAAGGTATTTTTCATGATTTTTTTCAAGCTCAGATAAACCAAATGTACACCCCTAGAAGAGCTTGACTAAAATTTGAACAAGCTGATGTCTTAATGTGTGTGTGTGTGTGTGTGTGTGTGTGTATTAAGTGCCATCAAGTCACTTATGGCAACCTTATGAATCAATGGCCTCTAAAACTTCCTATTGATAATGGCCTTGTTCAGGTTTGCAAACTGAGGGCTGTGGTTTCCTTGACGAAGTCCATCCATCTCATGTTGGGTCTTCCTTCTTTTACTGCTGCCTTCAGCTTTTCCTAGCATTATTGTCTTTTCCAGTCACTCTTGTCTTTTCATAATGTGACCAAAGTACAATAGCCTCCATTTAGTCACTTTTAGGAAGAGTGCAGGCTTGATTTGATCTACTTATGCATCTTTTTGGTAGTCCATGGTATCCATGAAACGCTCCTCCTACAACCACATTTCAAATGAATCAACTTTCTTCCTGTCAGATTTTTTCATTGTCATCTTAATATAGGAGAATATAATGAAGCACGTATACCACATTCCAGTCCACAGTCAGAGCTCCTTCTAGTCACTTGCTTCCTTTCTTTCATTTCTCCAAGTCTCTGATGATGCCTATACCAAATATAACCAAGCCTACTCAAAAGCAGCCCCTCTTCTCCTACAGTCCAACTTGGAGTATCAGTTCCAGAGTTTGCTGGTGAAGAAATAAATCAGCAAAAGAACAGCAACCAGACTGAGCATCCTAACTGACAAAACAGCACTGTTTCGTGAGGATAGATACAGCAATGCATTGGTGGGAATGTGCTTATGGACCTCAAGAAATCAGTACTACTAATTAAAAGTAAGGTATAAAATCAGAAAGTGAAATATAGACATTCATTTGCCACACATTACAGTATACATGTGGTTTCGTATACAAAAATGACTTCCCTATAGAGAAAATATCCCTATGTGAATCTGCCCTTGGAAGTTTCATTTCAGATTTGCCTAAGAAGATACCGATAAATGTATGTGTGTGTGGGGGGGTAATTTTTAAAAAGAAGCTTGCAGAAAGATAGTTATCAAAACAGACTTATGCAGTAGAAAGCTGCAAATACAACAGCAATAAGAAGAAAATTCAGACGGGCTTGAACAGCAATAGAGTTTAGCATTTTTAATCTTCAAAGCACTGTTATGCTATAATCATAACAGCCTATGAAATGAGGATTATTATCTTCATTTTACCTACAGAAAAGTAAGGGAATGATTAGGTGACTTGAACAAAGGAAAAATAAATGTCAGAATCAGGATTAGTACTGTCAGCTGTTTTAGGGGAAATGAACACAAGTACACTAAGGTGATTGTCTGTTCAGTGCTGAGTACTAGCCTAGCACCCCCTGGGTCACTTTGCTGGGCCTTGAATACATTCTGTTAGGGAGAAAAAAATACATCATGAGCAGAGCAAAAGAGAAAGCAAAGTTAAGTTAATTTTGCAGCTTCCTTCATACATTTCCAGCTCTCTGTGTGACCTTGCTGTTCCGTCTGAGCTATTAGTTACCATGTAAACCCAAACTCCACTGGGGAAGGCTGCTGTTCCCAAATGTATGGGGTTGTTGGTGCTTCAACTCACATCATTTTCAGTCTCTGATGTGATCTTGGTGTGAATGGTTTCACTTTGAATTCTGTCAAGTTTACATGAGGCATATTTTGGCACATTTTCTCCTTTCAGTACCCCCACATATTGAACATTCCAAAACAATGCCTAGCAACTTCACTTGATCTAGTGCTGAGCCCTATAGCAAAGAAGGGTCAAGCACCAAGTTTTGACTTTGCTTAAAGACCTGGACCAATGCATCAAAACTGTTTCATACATAAAAAGATCCTATTATTTGTCTCTCTTGCTACTGTGCAATGTTTAAATGTAGTTAAGTCAAGTGTACACTTCAGCCAACAAACATTTTACATTTTAAATCTATTTTAACAAAAGCTGTTTTCAGCCTCAAGTTTCGGACTTCCGGTCCGCGTTTTGCCGCTCAGACGCATCCCATCTCGCTCTGATGGGGACGCGCCGAGACCCGGCTGACGGGAGGGGTCCAAGTTCGTCCCAGACCTCCCCGGGGTCTCTGTAGGAGACCCTCAGCCTGGGGAGCTGAGGAAAGCCTCTTCCAAGGCAACTGCCAAGGAATTGAGGCTCACCTTATCCCCAAAAGGTACCGTGGCTGTGGAGCCAATATGGCACTTAGAGACGGCTGCCGGAGCAAGCAACCACAATCAAAA